TTTTTTTCTTTTTTTTTATCTATTATATTTTTTTTTTGTCATGAATAATAAGATAAAATAACATTCCTAAAAAATTTTAGTTAATCCAAAATTGGGTTACAACAAGGGGGACGGCGGCTAGTATGGGGTTCGCCGCCCCCTTCTTTTTTATGTTTCTCTCTTTTAGGATTTCTGGTAATGACCTCCTCTTGAGGTTTTTTTTTTTAAGGTTTCTCTCTAATCGTCCTCTTCCTCTTTCTCTCCTTCTTTTGCTCTGTTTTTCTGGGTTAATTCTATATTCTCGGGTTTATCCTCTTTTTTTTTTTTTTTCCTTCCCCCCTGAGATCTATATTTATAGTGCAAGAGTCACATCACTTACGAGAAGTAAAGTCTCAATCAAACTCATTCTCTTTTTTAAAGTTTGAATTAAAATCGAATTCAAAAGCAGACAACTATCATTATCTTGAGGGTTATCTTGAAGAAGATAAGGATTATCTTGAAGAAGGTAAGGATTAGCTTGAGGAAGATAGGGATTATCTTGAAGGTAGAGATTATCTTGAAGAAGATAGGGATTATCTTGAAGATAAGAATTATCTTGAGGTGAAGGCTAGAATGACAAAGGCATATTGTAGTCCTTAATTTTTACGGTTAAGGCTAGAATGACAAAGACATATTGTAGTCCTTAATTTTCACAGAAGTTGACAAATTACACTTTTCATCGAATATAAATCTCTGATTTTTTAATTTTTCATTTTAAACCCTATAAAAATTAAATTAAAAGCCAAAAAGCCAAAATTAGGTTACAACAATTATAATAAAAACTACTCTTAAAAGTGGGATATGCCAAGTTTCATTTCTCTTTGGCTCCTGTGTCAGCTAGCTAGCTTATTCCATGAAGTGCATGTATGGCTGGACTAATCTCATCGACTCCAATATTGGATGGCAAGGCAGACCTGTGGACATGTGTTTTGATAGCATAAAAATTTTAAATTAAAAGTTGAAATGATGATGTTTGTATTTTAAAAAAATTTAAAAATATTTGCATTAATAAATCATATAAAGAATGGTTAATCTAATTAAAGCCTACAACAGTTGGCTTGTTTTTTTGTTGTAAAAAAATAATAATAAATGCAAGCGTAAATATTTAACCTAGTAACATGGTTGCTTTTTATTTTTTTATTTAATTGTATAAAAATAAAAATGAATATTGTTAATAAAGATAGTTATTTGAATTCTCTGGAAAAATATATTTTTAGTTAAAATTCTCTTTTTATAATATATTTTTTTAATTTGAAAAACATATCTTTTGTAATAATTATTGGATAAAAAAATAAAGAAAACTACAATAGAAATTAGAAATATTGTATTGATTTAAAATAAAGAGTATGTAAAATGTATCTAATCAAAACTCCTTTTTTTTTTTATTAATGTGTTTCTTTTTTATTAGGAAAAAAAG